TATATAATATGATTTTATTTTCTAATAAAATGTATGAAAACAGGGATGGATTCCACAAGAAAAATATGACATAAGTGCTCTCTCTGAATGGTAGGACTATTGGTGACATTTTTTTCTCTGTGCTTTTCTGTAATATTCTGTAATAAAATGTTCTATGATAAAATATTTCTCTCATACTGTGTAATAAAAATGTGTCCCAAAGTTGTTTCTCCAGAAGCTGTTACCTTTCCCCTTGCTCTCTTCCTCCCTGTGGTCTATTACCTGGCTGATACTTCTGGCTGCTTTTCAGGGGTCTAAAGCTAGAAGACACTTACAACAACAGGGATGTGGATGCAGCATTTCAAAAGGCCTCGCTGGACATGTTCAACAAGAAAACCAAGGCCTCCCTTTACCTCTCCACACACAATGGGAACATGTACACCTCATCCCTCTATGGGTGCCTGGCCTCGCTTCTCTCCCTGTGAGTACCACACCTGCCCCACCTCTTATCTCAAACACTGAGGGGCTGCCAAGAAAATGCTTCCTCTTCTGGTTCAGAATTTTAAAAGAAAGAGAGAGAGAACAAGAAGGGTGGATGGGAAGAAGAAAAGAAGGAAGGATGGAAGGAAAGATTGAAGGAGGGAGCAAGGAAGGGAAAAAGGAAGGAAGATGAAAGAAACTTGTTCCAAAAGTGTAGTTATAGGTGAATTTATCTGCATTAACACTGGTCTCTGAAGTGAAATCCTTGAATATCAGGGACTGTTTGGGTGCAGCAGAAAAATAGTAGAACTTTTATTTATATTTTTGTTCCATCCATTTAAAATTTTTGTTGTGGTGGTGTAGTACCTAAGGCATTTGACTGCTAACCAGAAGGTTGGTCATTAAAACCCACCAGCCACTCCTTGGAAGGAAGATTGAGCAATCTACTTCCATAGAGATACCACTTTGGAAACCCAAGGAGGGGTCACTATGAGTTGAATCTACTCGACAGCAGTAAGTGTTTTTAGTTCTTAGTAGAGCATGGTGGGGGAGCTCTGGTAGCATAGTGCCTAAGGCACTTGACTACTAACCAGAAGGCTGGAGGTTCAAACCCACCAGCCACTCCTCGGAAGGAAGATGGGGCAATCTACTTCCGTAGTGATA